TTTTCGGAACTGACATGATTGTCCAGGCTCACATAAACAAGAGAGGAAAATAAGAAAAATATGAGCTCAAGCCTCATTGGTTCAAACATTTTAGCCAAAATAGACATTGAAGTACATAAAACAGACAAATATAGACCCGGCCAATGGCTAAACCTAATTTGCGGAACCAACCTTTCATCTCTGGCACTCTGTCTTCCCTTTCAGGCTTGTTCACCTGCGGCTGTGTCCATCAGTCTGTGTAAAATGATTGACACGATAAAACAGGATATGTTTGTGCACAGAGCGTGATTATGATCCAGTGCTTCATTACTCCGATAAAATCTTAACTTTGCAGACAAACTGGTACCTCAATATGTATCACTATCTATGTATGAGCTGAATTTTATCATATGCAACCTAGTCCTGTTTTTAAAAAATAAAACATTATTATCATGTCACAACTGACAGTTTAATCATTTTATTTTATTTTATTTGATATAGTGCCTAAAAAAAGATATGGATTTTACTAAGCAGACTATAGCATAATCAAGGTGCTTTAGAGTTCACTCAAAGTAATTCTATGAACATATCTCAATTATTGTTGCAGACAATGGCTAATCACATTTCCATCAGTCATCGCCGTGTATCTTCCAGAGCTGGGATTATTAAAATCTATATTTTACGTTAAGCTCTGCGTGTCTGAGATTACTTTCTCGGGAGCTGTGCACCTGTAATAAATATCTCCTATCAGTTATCCTCTAAAATACCGGTGCTGTCAGAGATTAAAATGCATGGTGTGAATTTATAAGTAGATTGCATTTTGCAAGGAAAGGCTAAGTGCGTAATACTTGACCCATATTCATCTCTGGACGCTGAATCCACAGTGTGCTGCACAGATGCCTTTCTGGATGGATGAGACAACTTGGAGAGCACTTGGCAAAAGCTGAGATGATGGTGTTTTCTTTCTGTATTTTCAAATTCTCTATATTGAAGCCGAACTCCAGGCAAGCAGCTAAATACACAAATGAAATGCATATATAAGATCTGTTTTGCCTGCCAAAGGAATTGTAATGGTGTCCATTCAGTCCTAAAATTTAAACAGCCCTGCCAGACTGTACAGCAAGGATGGTGATCTGACTTTTCTACACTGCAGTTAAAGTGGAACTAAAGGCACAAATACTTTCTTTAGGTCCAACACTTGCAAGCTCCCTTGGCAGTGCTGGCATCTTCTCTCTGGTTCTTCCAGATTCTAGTCTTCGGCCGTTTTGACTGGTTTGCATGGGATGAGATAACTCCCATTCATGTAAGTGCAGGTAAAGCTGCTTTCACACTGATCCATTTTTCTCTCGCTTTTGCCTTAAAAAAAGCGGAATCAAAATGTGTGACCATGTATTCCTATGAAACTCTTCATAGTCCAGCACATTTTTTAATTTGGGTTTGGTGGGGTAAAAAAAAAACTCACCAGAAAGGCACCTCCCCATTGAAATCAATGGAAAATGCAGTGAAAACTCATCAAACGTGCATCCGCGAGTAACTAGTGATGGACTTACATTCGACTCAAACGGGCCATTTGTGTGTTCGTTGAACACTCGAACGGTATGGGCGATCGGTAGGCTTTTCTTGCGCTGCACTCCACAATGCGCTGCGCCCTGACAGGTCAGGTGAATGCTTTTGCTAATCACAGGGCATGATTACGTAACAAGGAGGTGGGGATTGCCCCACCCCCTTGTGATGTCATCACCTTATTTAAGAACTGTCAACCTGGCACAGCTATCACATGGCAGAGTATGCTGACAAGAGTAGAGAGCAGAGTGATAGATAAACTCCTCAGTCCAGTGCTTCTCTTTTCATTGTCTACTCCCAAGGTGGGGTGCGGAGGAGACTTGTGTTACCTAAAATTAGGTGCTGTGCTAAATCTCAAAACTGGATGGACAGGGTAACAACCACTGGCTAGGGGAGGGAGAGCTCTGTGAGACTAGGGCAAATCCATGCCTTTCGATCTCACGTTCAAACAATGAAACCGGAAGTGATGTCACTTCTGGTTTTAGATGCACCATTTCCTGGCCAGTACAGCCAGGGGACACATCTAACCAAGCCGATCTGTGCATGGTTAGATGGTGTGAAGGGCAGGGGAGACATTAGGGTCTATCGGACCCCTAATGTCTCCATAAAGAGTTCCTGTCACCTGCCCAATGTTATCACATTGAGGTTTAGTAACCCCTTGTAATAGCAAACAAGTAAAAATAGCGAAAAAAATGTAAAGAAAAAAAAATATAAAAAAAAATATAAAATGTTTTTTAAAAATTGCTGTAACCCCCGTTATCCCGCACACCTGCGCAGAAGCAAAAACAAGCTTAGGGTGTTCATGCGTATGTAAACCATGGTCGCAGTACATGTGTGACATATCGACACGAACATTAGAGTGAGAGCAATAAATCTAGATCCTAGTTAACTCTAAACTGATGAGCTGTAAAGGCTTTTAAAGCGTCACCTACAGTGATTTTTGAGCACCATCATTTTTAGCAATACTGCAGATGCACACAACTTTAAGACGTGGAATGTTTAGTATCAATTTACTCGATGCAACCTCATATTTTATATTTTAACCAAAAATGGATATTATATTGTGTGTTTTTGCAATAAAAGTCATTTTATTATACTTTATTTATGAAAATTTGCGTTTAATAAACAGTTGCGCAAATATGTGACATAAAAATTTGCAATTATTGCCTTTTTATTCTACAGAACCTCTGCTTTCAGAAAATATACAATGTTCTGGGAGTTTACATAATTTTATTGCCAAAAATTAAGATTTTTCATATATATGAAAAATTTAAAAAAATAGCTTTGAAGCTGAACTGGATAAAATTATATTCAGACACTTCTGCAGCTCACCGAAAGAAAAACTAGGTGGATATAGCTAGATATATAAATTTAATGAAGAAAAGTTGTATTGACTGAAGTTCCCCTTTAAGATATGACGCAGAGTATGGATCCTCATGGCACACATAAATAAAGTGAACAAAATAGACTGCAGTCTCATTCAGTCTGGCACGGGAACCTGCCCTCAACATAAACATGTGATGCTCATACATGGTCTGCTGGCTGCATCATCACAGGACCATCTGTGGGCATGGCCGGCTGCCTGCTCTGAAGGTGGCATGGCACTCTATTACTGATGCAGCAGCGACAGCCAAAATATAAGGTTGAGATGAGCACCGGGCTCAATTTTGTGTTACTAATGCCATCTGTTCTCTCTTTCATGGAAAACATCACAAATAATATGCATTTGTTCTTTATCACACTTATACTATACCTAGAGAATCAATTGTATCTCTGTAGATAATGTGCACAGTGATGGCACTGAATGAACATGTTATTTAAAGCTGAACGTCAGGATACTAGTTAACTTGCATCATAAGTTTCATTACCCACCGGCAATAGTATATTTATGCCCAGGGCCGTCTTTGGGGGGGGGGGGGGGGGGGGGGGGCAAAAGGGAAAGCTGCCTGGGCCCAGTCACTGTTGTAGGGCCCAAAGCAGCTTCCCTATACTTGCCAACTGTACTAGTTTACGTACATTCTCTTGTCCCTTGAAGTCTTTGTCTTGGGCTGTGTCCAATATCTCAGTGAAGTGCTGTCACTGCTGGCCAGCTCTGTCCTGTTGCCATGTACAGATGACTCAAATGTGCAGACCATGTCAGCATTCACATGTAAATAACAACTGCATTCATATGTAAATAGTAGCAGCAATGTGGTGGTCAGTGTAAATTCACCCTTATATTGGTGGCCAGTATAGAAATGTATTGGTTGTTGGTGTAAAATCCACCATTACATTGGTTGTCAGTGTAAATTCTTCATTACATTGGGGCCAGTATAGAAATGTATTGGTTGGCAGTGTAAATTCTTCATTACATTGGTGGTCAGTACAAATTCACCATTACATTGGTGTCCTGTGTGAATTTAACTTTACATTGGTGGTAAGTGCAGAATTGCCCTTACACTGGTGGTCAGTGCAAACCCCCCTTACATTGGTCATCAGTTTTAATCCCCCCTATTGGTGGTCGGTGTAGAAATGTCACCTCCCATCCCCATCCAGCACTGCCGCTGTTCCTATCCACCCCAAGCACTGCCAGTGATCTCATCCCCCCCCCATCAGCATTGTCACTTATCCCATCCCCACAGCACTGCCACTTATTCCATCCTCCCCACCACTGCCACTGATCCCGTCCCCCCCCCACCACTGCCACTGATCCCATCAACCCTCCCCCTAGTACTGCATCTGATCACACCCTCCCCCCCCAGCACTGCCCATGATCCCAGGAGTCCTAGGAGTTGTTTGTCTATTGGTGGGTCCCCTAACCTTAGTCCATGGTGTGCAGGCAGTGAGGAGATGATGTGCTTTATCTTTCGGCAACCAATCAGTGAGATGTAATTAAGTGCTGTAACCTCTAGCAACCAATCAGTGAGTGGTAAGGATGTACAGTAACCTCGAGCAACCAGTGGGTGAGCGGTAATGCTGTGCAAAAAATTCTACAATCAATCAGTGAGCAGTAATAATGTGCAGTAACTTCTAGCAAACAATCAGTGAGCAGTAATGATGTGTGGTAACCTCTAGCAACTAACCAGTGAGCCACAATGTGTGCTGTTACCTCTAGCAACCAGTCAGTGAGTGGGGATGATATGCTGACTTATATTTTGGCTGCCACTGCTGCATCAGTAATAGAGTGCCATGCCACCTTAAGAACAGGCAGCCAGCCATGACCACAGATGGTCCTGTGATGATGCAGCCAGCAGACCTTGTATGAGCATCACATGTTTTTGTTGAGGGCAGGTTCCCATGCCATACTGAATGAGACTGCAGTCTGGTAATCAACTGCAATTTCTGCCTGATTTCCTGCAGTAAACTGATTTTGAGTTTAGCTGCTATTTATTGAATATCTCAGATCAGGTGGAGAGTGAAATTGCTGGGGGCGGGGGGCCAAGAAAATGTTTGCCCAGGGTCCAGTCACTATTAAAGACGGCCCTGTTTATGCCCTGGTAGAGAAGCGGGTATAGCAGGATCCAGGGGCGGACTGACAACTCATGGGGCCCCCGGGCAATAGGGGATCATGGGGCCCCTGTGTCCTCACCCACACTCAAACCACACCCAAAAAAGCCTATGAAAGGTACTCGGGGCATCTAATGGGGCCCCCTACTGACACTGGGCCCTCGGGCAGTGCCCGAGTGCATGAATGGTCAGTCCGCCCCTGCCAGGATCATGGTTAAGGCTACAACCATGATCCCAGTGTAATTTTTTCTTTCAAATAAAAGTAATCCAAGCTGCTAAGCAGCTGCTGGATTACTTTTACATGCGAAGGGAGGGGAGGGGACGCCCCCCCCCCCTTCCACCACCCACTTGCACTGTTACTGGGCTTCCTGGGCGATCGGGAAGCTCAGGATCTGATCCGGCAGTGGTGCTGGGTTATCATGGAGCTGGCCATGGACCTGATGGTCCCCAGCCATATATCTATGGTCCTGGGAGGCCATAAGCTGGGTCGTGACATAGTTTCCAGTTCTGGCAGTTTTACACAGTGCCATTTTTTTCTGGAATGTCTGAGATAATTTTTTTCATCTCAGGCTTTCCAGCATAGAGAAGAGGTGTGGGGTCTTCTTCCCAGATCTCTCCATAAAATTATTTATTATTATTATTTCTACCACAAGTGATATTTACATTCCTTGTGACAGGAATAAAAGTGATAAAAAAAATAAAGAAACATAGTAAAAATAATAAAAAATAAATAAAATTAAATAAAAAATTAAGGTGCCCCTGTTGCTCATGTGCAGCGGCGAAGGCATACGTAGGTCACCCCCGCATATGTAAACAGTGTTCACACAAGACATGTGAGAAACCGCCACAAATGTTATAGCAAGAGCAACTTTTGTAACTCTAAACGGGTAACCTGTAAAAGGTTTTAAAGTGTCGCCTATGGAGATTTTTAAGTACTGTAGTTTGGTGTCTTTCCACGAGCGTGCGCAATTTTAGGTGTGACATGCTAGGTATCTATTTACTTGGCGTAACATCATCTTTTCTATTTTACAAAAAAATGTGTTTTTTTGCATTACAATATTTTGAAGTGTATTTTTTCCCCAAAAATTGCTTTGAAAAATCGCTGACTAAATACTGTGTGACATAAAAAATTGCAACACTCAACATTTTATTCTCTAGGGCCTCTGCTTAAAAAAAATATAAATATATATAATAATGTTTGGGGATTCTGAGTTATTGATGAAAAAAAATGATGATTATTACATGTAGGATTGAATAGGCTTGGGAAGCAAGGGGCCAAACATATACTGTACATAATGAATTTAATGAAACTACAATGCTCATCATATAATAGGAATTGTAGTAATGAAGGCACATGAGTGAGGGTGGACAGTATTGTGGGTGACTATGTGGCTAATCTAAACCTTGCTGGGCAGGACAAACCAAGAGTCTTCTGGCCTGTCCATCAAATGATGCTGGTAGATGCAAATGACGTCAGTAAATGAATCAGCTTGAGGGTTTGGTACTCCTGGGTTATCTAACTGCAGTGAACAATGATGGAATGAAGATAGGGGGACCTTTCAGTCATACGCCCGTCCCTCATTCATAGATTGCTTTCCACTGATGGATGCTATAGCTATGAATAGAGAAGGGAGCAGAAAGAGCAAGCATAGTCAACACACTTGATTGCATATGACAGGTCCCTTGGCTCGGGGTTGGCAGGGGAATCAGACAATTTTAGATTTCAATGAAAACAGCAGGCAGCAGCACAAGGGACACTTATTTATTTCAGGTACTTATATAGCGCCATCAATTTACACAGCACTTTACACATATATAGTGTACATTCACATCAGTCCCTAACCCTCAAGGGGTGTATAATCTAAGGTCCCTAACTTACATTCATACATACACATATTAGGGCCAATTTAGACAGGAGCCAATTAACCTACCAGCTTGTCTTTGGAGTGTGGGAGGAAACCCATGCAGGCACAGGGAGAACATGCAAACTCCAGGCAGGTGGTGCCGTGGCTGGGATTCAAACCAACGACCCTAGAACTGCCAGGCGGAAGTGCTAACCATTTAGCCACTGTGCTGCCCGTACACTTCACGGTGAATATATGTACTGTCCATTGTGCTAATTCTTTTTTTTTCATTTTGACTATACTTGGGCTTTAATGCTGAACTTTGGGCAAACATTTATTCAGCTGTAATACATATATGAGAGCTGTTTCTAGGTGCCAAAAGATTTGTATTTCTATCCATTCAGTGATAGGATTTGCACAACACAGCCTTGTATAGCAGAACTGGTGACAGTGTTAAAACTCCGAGGTGGCCCCTAGGCAGTTGAAGCCTTGGGTCCCCCTTCACCTGTTTCTGGAGGTTTCTCACGCTGTAGTGGGATAACATTGAACTAAGTAATGTACTCATGGGCTGCTATATGGAGATTACCATCACATCACTACCGTATGTTACATTTATGTAGGTTGCACCAAAATGGTCTAAGGTTTATGTATTTGGGTTATTGGGTACATTACATTAATAAAGTATTTTCTCTTTAAAGTTTTTAATGTAAAGTTTTTGTTTCTTTGAGCTGATTTTGTTAACAATTCAAGAAAGCTTCATTGTAGCTTTCTGTAAAGATCAAATCAATATTATTTTTGATCCATTGTCGCGGAACCCTTAAATGACATGGCGCCCATAGGCCGATGCCTTCTCCGCCTAGTTACGGCATTGGCTGGAGATCTGCTTTTTCTCTGTTATAGTTAAGTAAGGGCCTATGTTGATGGGCTTTAGTTTGCTTCAGATGGGTTTTGCATCTCTATACAGTTCTAGGAGAATTCAAACCCACTTGAAGTAGGTCAAACGATTTTGAATGATATCGAAAATGTCTCAAACTGATGCCATCGAGACAAATCCACAGCTCACCAACACAGGTCCTAACGCTTACAGGTCTCCTCCCTCCCTTGCCAGTAACAGGACAGTGGAAGGAGAATCAGCAGATCAGTGAGCGTTTCTTTCTCTCTCAAACTATCAGCATGCTCCTTGCATTGCAGCACAACTATTTGGCTTTTTCTGTGTCTTGGATCAAGGTTTTACATAAATAAAAACTGATCATTGTAAGCACCCTTGTCAGTAATACATGGGTTGTCTGATCCTGCTAACTGGCACATCTGCAGGACAGCTTGTTCTTTTGAAAAACAACAGACTTAATGGCTAGATCACCAGATGAAAATAAAAGAAAGAAAGTCTAAAAAAGAAAACTAATGCAGCCATCACATCTAAGAATTGGTAAGCTGCAATATAATAAATGTTTCCTTTTGGGTTTAACACCACTTTATTGTGTGTCTTTTACATCTTACTGATTATTAGCTTCAAACCTTGATGTAATTCCTAAAATGAGCCCTACATTTCTTGAACAGCTATATTCCTATCTGTCATACAAATGTCAATAAAAATGCATAAATAATGCGAATTATAATTGCATTAAAAATTATAAGCTTCTTTGACAAATTTGTGCTGCAAAACAGTATGTGAATGCTGAACATTTAATGGACATAAAGCTCAGCAAAATATCAATGCCACAAAACATATGCCAAATTGTCTGGGCTGATTGCAGCTCGGCCACGATGCAAGCTTTATCTTCATTGCCTGAAACAATGTCATTGTATTCAATCACAACAGAGCTTGAATAGCTGGTGAACCTGGTCATATGGGCATATTCAAAAGCAATCCCATGCCGATGCCTCTGCCATTCTTTGGACAATGCCACTTTACTTTTCATCTTTATTATTTACCACTGTATATTAGGATTAGGAATAAATCTAAAGGGTTTCAGAGTATATATCTATATATATATATATATATATATACACACACACACACTATATTGCCAAAAGTATTGGGCTGCCTGCCTTTACACGCACATGAACTTTAATGGCATCCCAGTCTTAGTCTGTAGGGTTGAGGTCAGGACCAGGCCAGTCAAGTTCCTCCACCCCACACTCAGCTCATCCATTCCTTCCACACTCTTCATGGACCTTGCTTTGTGCACTGGTGCGCAGTCATGTTGGAACAGGAAGGGGCCATCCCCAAACTGTTCCCACAAAGTTGGGAGGATGAAATTGTCCATAATGCCTTGGTATGCTGATACCCTAAGAATTACCAAACTTTACACTTGGCACAATGCAGTCAGGTAAGTACTGATCTCCTGCCAACCTCCAAACCCAGACACGTCAAATTGCCTGACAGAGAAGCGTGATTTGTCAGTCCAGAGAACACATCTCCACTGCTCTAGAGTCCAGTGGTGGCATGTTTTACACCACTGCATCCGACGCTTTGCATTGCACTTGGTGATGTAAGACTTGGATGCAGCTGCTCAGCCGTGAAGACCCATTCTATGAAGCTCTATACACACTGTTGTTGTGCTAATCAGAAGGCCACACGAAGTTTAGAGATCTTTAGCTATTGACTCTGCAGACAGTTGACGACTTCTGCACACTGTGTGCTTAAGCATGCTCTGACCCCATTCTGTCATTTTACGTGGCCTACCACTTCGTGGCTGAGTTGCTGTTGTTCCCAGTTGCTTCCACTTTATAATTACCACTAACAGCTGACCATGGAATATTTAGTAGCAAGGAAATTTCATGGATGGACGTATTGCACAGGTGACAACCTATCACAATACCACGCTTGAATTCACTTAGCTCCTGAGAGCGACCCATTCTTTCACAAGTGTTTATAGAAGCAGTCTGCATGCCTAGGTGCTTGATTTTATAAACCTGTGGCCATGGAGGTGATTGGAGCACCTGAATCCAATGATTTGGAGAGGTGTCCCAATACTTTTGGCAATATAGTGTGTGTATATATATATATACTGCTCAAAGAATTAAAGGAACACTTTTTAATCAAAGTATAGCATCAAGTCAGTTAAACTCCTGGGATATTGATCAGGTCAGTTAAGTAGCAGAGGGGGTTGTTACTCAGTTTCAGCTGCTTTGGTATTAATAAAATGAACAACAGGTGCACTAGATGGACAACAATGAG